ACGAGACAAGGAGAAGACTAGCAATATTAAATCTCAAGCAGACTGTTTATTTGGAAAACACATAAAGAGTCATGAAAGGGGCAGATTAAATCAAATGAGGTATAGAAGCAGAAGTCCGTCAAAATTAAAGGGGAAGGGTAAGTTTATTTGCTATTACTACAAAAAAGAATGTCATATGAAGAGATATTGCCCGAAAAGAATGGATGATATAAAGAGGAAAGAAATAGGAAAAACATCTGATGAAGCTAGCGTGGCCGATAACTCTGACGTAGATGATGGAGATCTTCGCTTTATATCTCCAGGTAAGAATCAATTTACTAATTATTGGATTTTAGATTCTGGTTGTTCTTTTCATATATGTCCAAATAGAAACTGGTTCAAAACCTACAAATCATAGAGTGGTGGGTCTGTTTTAATAGGGAACGATGCGGTATGAAATACCATTGGAATAAAAACTATCAAAATCAAGATGTTTGATGAGATAGTATGAACCTTATCAGATGTGAGGCATGTCTCACAATTAAAAAAAAACTTAATATCTCTGGGGCCTCTTGATTTGAATGGTTGCAAGTCTACAGCAACAGGTGGAGTCCTCAAAGTTAGTAAGGGATATATGATTGTCATGAAATGTCAGATGATTGGGAACCTATACAGGTTGATAGAGAATACAGTTACAGGTGGAACTTCTGTAACCACAGATGTTGAGTCCAACACAGATGACACAAATCTGTGTCATATGCATTTAGGGCATATGAGTGAACGAGGTATGATGAAACTTCATAAAAGAAAATTATTGAAAGGTGTCAGAGCCTGTAAACTGGATTTCTGTAAGTACTATGTTTTCGGTAAATAGTGCGAGATTAGATTCAAAACTGCAATTCATACGAGCAAGGATATACTAGACTATGTACACATTGATGTATGCGAGCCTTCACCAATCAAATTCAATGGTACGTCATAATACTTCATTACCTTCATTGACGATTACTCAAGAAAGGTCTGGGTCTACTTCATGAAACACAAAAGTGAAGCATTCACGAAGTTTAAACAATAGAAAACAAAGGTAGAAAGGAATACAGGAAAGAAATTAAAATGTTTGAGATCAGATAATGGAAGAGATTACAAGTCTAGAAAAATTCAAGAATTATGTAAATAATAGGGGATTGTACGTCACATTACCACACTGGAAACTCCTCAGCAAAATGGTGTGACTGAGAGGATAAATAAAACTCTTTTGGAAAGATCTCGTAGTATGAGATTGAATGCAGATTTGAAGAAATGTTTCTGGGCAGAAGCAATTAACATGGCCTGTTTCATCATTAATAGGTCACCATCTACAACGATTGATTACAAAATTCTATATGAGATGTGGATAGGAAAGCCGGTAGACTACTCTATATTGAGGATCTTTGGACGTCCAGCTTGTGTCCATATGCAAAGTGAAAAACGTTCCAAATTAGACTCTAAGTCTAAACAATGCATCTTTCTCGGTTTTGAGAAGGGAGTGAAGGGATTCAAGCTTTAGGATCGTACTTCACATAAAGTTGTGCTTAGTAGTGATGTTGTGTTTGATGAATCTCACATGGTGAAGTCAATCAACATGCAATATGACAAAGTGCAAGTAGATGAAAGTGATGAAGAAATATCGACAGTCCATGTGGAGCTAGAAGAGCTTGAAACACCAGAAGAGGAAAAATCATCCAGTAGCATACCAGAACAGTATCAATCACATAGTGAACCTTACAATTTGGCAAAAGGCAGAAAGAAGCGTGTTCACAAAGCCCCTGTGAGATACGGATTTGAGGACATGGTAGCTTTTGCTCTAACTGTTGGTATTCGGGGAAATCGACTCCTTTGAAGATGCACAAAGTGATAAATGGATGATAGCCATGATGGAGGAGATGGAGTATCTGAAACAAAACAATACTTGGAAGCTTGCGAAGAGGCCCAAGGGAAGGAAAGTGATTAGGTGCAAGTGGATATTTCGGAAGAATGAGGCAACAACAGAAAAAAAATGTGAGAGATTCAAGGTTAGGCTCGTAGCAAAGAGCTACGCTCAGAAAGAGGGAGTCGACTACAATGAAATATTCTCTCTGGTTGTCAAGCACACTTCAAGAAGGCTATTGCTTGTTTTAGTAGCCATGTTTAATTTGGAGCTAAAACAACTTGACGTGAAGACAACGTTTCTTCATGGTGACTTGGATGTCTTTATGGAGCGACCTAAATGCTTCAAGGTGCATGGAAAGGAAGATCAAGCTTGCTTGCTCAAGAGATCACTTTATGGTCTTAAGCAATCTCTTAGATAGTGGTACAATCGTTTTGACTATTTCATGGTGCGGATTGGCTATTCAAGAAGTGAGTATAATTGTTGTGTTTATTTTAAAGTTCTTGATGATAATTCCCTTATTATCCCGATACTTTATGTTGATGACATGCTCATCGCTGCCAATAATGCTTGTGACAACTTTTTTCAAGTCTATGTTCAGTTATGAGTTTGATATGAATGATCTAAGGGCTGCTAATAGGATCCTTGGTATAGAGATTCATAGAGATATAAGTGTAGGTAAACTCTGGGTAACTCAGAAAAAGTATGTTGAAAAGGTGTTGGAACGTTTCAGCATGGAAAAGGCCAAGTCAGTTAACACTCCATTGGGGAGTCATTTCAAGTTATCTAAACTACAGTGTCCCACTACAGATGATGAGATAGAGCAGATGTCTTTAGTGCCCTATGCTAGCGCAGTCGGAAGCCTCATGTATGTTATGGTTTGTAGCAGGCCGAATTTATCTCATGTTGTCAGTGTTGTTAGTTGATATATGAGTAATCCTGGAAGGGAGCATTAAAATGCTATTAAGTGGATTTTCAGATATCTGAGTGGGACGTCAGATCTCATAATTATGTTCAACATGAAGATAAGCTCTACAGAACTGGTGGGATATGTTGATTCTGACTATGCTGGTGATTTAGACAAGTGATGGTCTACTACAAGGTATGCCTTCACACTAGTAGGTGGACATATTTCGTGAAAGGTAATGCTTCAACCCACGATTGCTTTGTTTACGATAAAGGCAGAGTACATGACAGCAGTCGAGGCTGCAAAGGAGGCGATCTGGTTGACTGGTATAGCTCATGAGTTAGGGGTAGAGCAAGAAGGTATTGTGTTACATTGTGATAGTTAGAGTGCCATAAATCTTGCAAATAATCAAGTGTTTCATACAAGGATAAAACACATTGATGTGAGATATCACAAGATCAGGGAGCTTGTGTAAAAAAGAATCATTCATCTAAAGAAAATTCATACGAATGATAACTCTGCATATATGCTTACAAAACTGGTCACCATTGAGAAGTTCAAGCTTTGCTTTGACTTGATTAATGTATTTCATTGTTGAGAGTGAGGAAAGTACCCCATAACAGGTGAGGGTGTAGTAGCTTACCTTTATGGAGGTATGGTGATGAAGACATTTCCAGGGTGGCTCGACAGAATTCAATCCAATATGGATATTGTTGAGGATTATTGTCTTGTATTTCGAGAAAATATATCTGCCAAGGTTCGGATATATCCGTTCATATGATGCGATATATCTGGGACTCGATATATATATATATATATATATATATATATATATATATATACTACATAGTAGGTTAGTTAGTTAGTTTAGTTATTATATTATTAGTAGTACTACGTATTATATACGTTCGTACGTAGTTAGGTAGGTTACGTA